TTGACCGTCACATTATAACGCCCCCACGGCTGAAAGGGCGAGCATGTTTGGTGGGACGGGGATTCGAATCCACGACCCTCAGATTGCGAGTCGAGCGCCTTATCCACCTGGCCATGGGTTTATTTTGTACGCTGTTTTTAAGCAAACACCAAAAACTGCACAACTGTTTTTAGCCAAGGCATAGCGGCTCATTAAACGGCTCTGAGTTTTTTGTTTTCTTCAAGTAACAACTTTTAGCTCATAGCTCCGTCATCTCTTGACCGATTTGAGATCTGTTTAAGTTTTGGACTCAGGAAGTCAAACCCTTTCGATGGTGATGTATTTGACTACGCACAAGGTCTCATAGATTAATTTACTCTAATCCTGCCTAAAAGAATTTCAAGTGCCGCGTCTACTGAGGATTCCCTTTTGTTTTCTAACTACCTTAGGTATGTTGAATGTTTCTTTGATCAATTTTTTGGAAATATCGTAAACGAATTAAGGTGATAAAGGTAGGCTATACGAGTACTGTGACAATTAGTAAAACGATAGCGTGATCCTAACAAGTCCCAACAAGGGTTTGTTTGTTTTTAATTATGCACAAAGCTACACAAGGGCTATCTGTGCTCTGATCATCACGGGTATCGAAACCCGGTTTCTAACGTTGTAAGTCTGCAGACATACCGCTGTGCCACTGGGGGCAAAGTCCCAACAAGCTGCTAGTGTATTTATCGAGTAGACATCACAAATTTCTTTGCAGTGAGAAGTGGCCAGAAATGTGAAACTTCACTAAACGCTGCACACAGTATGTCTCATAACGTCAAAGGAGTTATATATTTATATATGTATGAATTGGTGAAATTTAATGTGTTTAAAGACCTATATTTACAGGTGTAAGGCTTCGCACTAAAACTACTTTATTCACAGCTGGTAATTTTTCATCTCTTTCTGGTGTAAATATGTCCATTACACAACTGTTAATTAAGTTTTGGATTATAGAAGTGTTGTTAACCGTAATAAGAAGCTTTCGAAACATGATCTGGTTCTAACTGCATGGAGCGAAACGGGTGTTTTTAACAAATTCAAAACTGGTAATTTATGCAGTGTGTGAATGTTCACGAACTTATTTACACAAAAACCATCAACAAAGCACTAAGATTAGTTCATGGCAGTGCCTTTAGTACAGGTTTTTGCTTAATTTACACATGAAACAGAAATTTTGATTTTAAAACCAAGACATTTTAGGAGGTGTGTCCGTGCACGCAATACTCTCATACATCTGAGCTCTGAGTATTGACTTTAGTTTTTCTGAATTTTTGTGGTAACGGCTGTCGGATATTTTCAGACGTGAGCTCCATTAAGGCTTATAGTTATCTTATAAATTATCTGTAAGGAAAAGACATTTTCAGGCTTTCCATTTCTTTAATTCTTTGATCTAGAAGACTTTTCAAAGTTTTGCGTTTTTGTCCTCGTTTGTGATTTGTTAGTGTAAACAGCTCAGCGGATTTCATGGATATCTATAACATTTACTAAGCACTTACCTCGATAACCGTAAATAAAACACTTGAAAACAGATTTCAAAGATAAAGTTCCTGAAATGATATTTCTTCAGCAGATATTAGCCAAAGAAAAATTATAATCACGAACATTTCCGTCAAGACCTTATAGCACTTTTAGAATATTGACCGTATGTTATCAAGGATAATCTGGTTTCACAATCGGTTATAGTAAAAAAGATCATACGAGATTTAGTGTTTTTGCAAAAGTAAACCTTATTTTACCAAGGAAACCAGCACTCATCGCCTTTTAAAAGTAAACCTTATTTTACCAAGGAAACCAGCACTCATCGCCTTTTAAAAGTAAACCTTATTTCACCAAGGAAACCAGCACTCATCGCCTTTGAAAAGTAAACCTTATTTCACCAAGGAAACCAGCACTCATCGCCTTTGAAAAGTAAACCTTATTTCACCAAGGAAACCAGCAATCATTGCCATTGAAGAGTAAACCTTATTTCAGCAAAAAAAACCAGCACTCATCGCCATTGAAAAGTAAACCTTATTTCACCAAGGAAACCAGCACTCATCGCCATTGAAAAGTAAACCTTATTTCAGCAAGGAAACCAGCACTTATCGCCTTTGAAAAGTAAACCTAATTTCATTAAGGATAGTCTGTTTTTTCAATCGGTTATAGAATGAAAAGATTTGATGGCACTTAGCGCCTTTTGAAAATATACCTTATTCGATCAAGAATAGGGCTTCAGCGCAACCTAGACTTTGATTCGGAGAACTTATGGTTCGCGACCCTTTGCCGTAGAAATACACTCCTCACTTTGGGGTCGCTACAAGAATTTTGGTCAAATACTACTAGTGCTTGTGTAGCTTTACACGAAATTCTGAAGCAAGCCATCATCACTGATAACTTAACTTCTCAATAGGTCATAGTTAAAACGCCTACTTTTGGTCATAAAAAATTACCTGGCTTCTTGATCTATTATTGTTAATGAGATCTGACAGTAACGCTCTGAGAACATCGATCTTCTTTCATCAAATATATTCTTAAATAAAGTAGGAGTGTAAACCAAGTAGGTCGACAGGAAAATTACTAAGCACTTTTTCAACTTTTTAAATTAAGTCAAGAATAATTGAGAAATTGATTCTAATAAGAATGCCCTCCGGTTGATCAGTGGTAAGTTTACGGATTTACAACGCTAAAATCCGGGATTCGATTCCCTGCGGTGGGCAGACTATAGGTAGCCTATTGTGTAGCTCTGCACTAAAATAACCAAACCAAACCATCTAATCAAAACTGTTTTAAAATGTTAAGATAAAAAAGTATATTCTAATTCGTGATAAAACATTTACACAGTTGTTGTTCAATAATAACAAAAACATAACAGTAATGTAATAAAAGTAAATATTCAATAACACAAATATATGACTTGTAATTCATTTTACTCTAATTCCTATCATACCGATTTGAGTATAACACATTTGTTTAATTCACAGCTTTAATGTGGCCTTTATTACTCTCCGAAGCAGCTTCTGTAGTGCGTAGCAGTCATCGAGTTTTGTAGTTTGTGTCCTGTGTAGCAATCTTGAGTTGCATACTTTGTGTCCTGTGTAGCAATCTCGGGTTGTATAGTTTGTGGCCTGCACCCCTGGATTTTATAGCTTGTCCTGTGTAGCAGTCATTGGTTTTTATAGTTTTTACCCTGAGTAACAGTCATGAGTTATGTATTTTGTAATTTGTATTTTGTCAACAACCTTTAAATATCGAATTGTTTGAAACACACTAATGGTCGTTTTTTCTGCTGTAAAGGTACACTAAAAATAGTCTTAGAAACGTGTGTAAAAGTTTCAAGATACCACAGCTTTTAAATATTAATTAATATTTTCAACTTCTAAAAACATCAGGGTAAATACTTAAATCTTTTACCTGGAATATGTAACACAGTGCGATACCAAATAGTGTACACTTTATTTAAAAGGAATTCAGAATTCATTCGATTAGTTAAAAAAATCGAATTTTGATTTTTAAATAAGATCCATAGCACCATTCCTGAGTTAGAATTAAATATATCTTCGCAAGTGTTTCAGCTCAAAACTTAAGCCGACACCAGAAGAGAGAAAGTTTTCTGCTCCGTAATCTATGTAAATAGTTTTCTAAGTCAGAATGCTATTTGATTGTGATTGTCGTAAAAAATTGAAGCAACTAATATTTATCAAACAGAGTGTATTGTGATAGTTTTAATTAGAAATGCTGTGCAGATTGAATTTGGTGTAAATAGAAGAAATTCTTACCATTCAAGTGCCGATAACCACGTGACTTTTGGTTTCACCTGTGATTTGGGATAACAGAGGTGGCCAGTAGGTTATTGAGGACTGATGAGGACTCCCTGTGAGATCTTCTTATTGAGTAGAATTAACAGTTCAAGTTCTTTATATGTATGTACGGCCCAGCTACGTCACTGGGAGGAGTTTTTGAATGACACTCTTCTAGTGTTGCAGGCATGACATGCGCAGTAACACTTGACGCGAAATTTCCAGGAATGGTGAACTTGGGAATATCTTCAACAAACGATGTGGTTGGTGGTATGATGATGAGGGCAGAATTTTGTAATGTGACACCTCAATCTTTCGTACTTTTTCTGAGCACCACCTGACCGTCTTTTAGAATGTAACAAAACTAAATATCCCATTATCTAAAAATATATAAACTTTGCTAAATATTTAATAACAAAATTCTGAAGAATAACTAGTTCTACTTGTCCCTCTTAATATTGTGGGCATTATTATAATAACTGATTGTGTTTCCTAACTCGCAGTATAAACACAATGTAAGTATGATCTATAAATTGTAGTCCAGAAATGCCTCACCCATGAAAAACTTTCAGTCTATCTTCGACCACCCTTCTTTGGAGAATAGATAGGATGAAGAAATTGAGTGCAATACCTGTCGACCTCTAATTTCTCCTGGGGTCATCTGAGGTTATCTGGTATTTGTATTATGCTTTTAGTTAGTCTGATTGTTCAAACTTTGGATATTTTTATTTTAACAGGTTTCTGCTACGTTTTTCTAGATTTTTTTAATAGAAAAATTGGATCTATGAATTTCAATACGTTTATTTTTCTGGCTTTTGTTTCATCGAATAGTTGGATTGATCAGTTTAATCAAGTTTTTATAACCTTGGAAACTGCGATTAGTGAAATCTACTTGTGTTTCTTTAAAAACATATTATGTATTAGGGTTTTAAATATGTAAAGAAAACTGGTAGAACAGAAGTTAAGCTTACCATCTTGATAAATAGAGTAACTTAACCTGTTCTTAATGAATGTGGTAAAACCTCTTCAAGAGGATCAGCATTCAAATTGCTGCCCAATACAGAACAGACAATAGCGACTGCATCTCGTAGTTATTTTTGTCACATCCTATAAACGTTCTTGAATTAATTGGTTTTAGATTAATCAAAAACAACTGCTTGTAAAAGAGGTCTAAAAACTTTAATAACGCATACTCCTTTTCCAGAAATCAGTGTGAGCTCAATCGTGTACTTTAATTGAACACTTATAATTCTATATTAACATTACAAAAAAAAAAGATCAAATCTTTTTCTAATTCCTTATTTTGTATTACAGTTGGTTAGATAACATAGAAGGGCAATTGTTCTTATTTGACTCAGTATATTCAAGTTTGCTTGAGAGAAGGTTTAGATAGAAAAGAGTATATTTAACCTGACTTCGTCTGATGAAAATCTGCGCTAGAAGCTCGAAACGTCGTCCAAAACTTCCTAGACTGGTGCATTCCATTAACGACGGCTTTCAAGTACACTCCAGTTTAATACCACATTTACAAACGTTTAATAATTGTCAACTTTGGATACTTTGGTTAATTGGTTTATTTATTTTCGTATTTTAAGTAATTTTCCTGTAGCTGAATAGCATTACATTGTAGTCTAAAAGCTATACACAATCTGTTTCTAATTGGCTTTAAAATATTTCTGTTATATAAGGCTTGCTATTGGACTTTTAAAATCTCGCCTCGTTTTGAATCCAGTGACTCAGCAGTAAGTCTACAGGCTTACGACGCTAAAAATCAGGTTTCGATACTTGTAGTTGGCAGAGCATAGATAATCCATTATGTAGCTTCGTACTTAACAACAAACAACCAAGCCAAAAACATCGTTTGTCCATGATGAATGTTGATTACACACCAGAATAAAAAATGATTAGGAAATCAATAAACTTGTCACCAGTTATATTTTAATAACCCATTTCTGTTCTTGTTTCAGCTAGTAAGTAATTGATTAATATTTCAGTATTATAATTTTTGAAATCAATATAAGTTAAATAAGAATTTGACATAATAAATGAGTTAAAAGAAATATTATCCATTGTATCCGCTCTCATTTTAGTTGAATTAAAGCATATTAATAAAGAATTTATAAGGGATGAATATGGTTCGGCTATACTTATGAGATGAGCATTTGAGTTTTAAAACCAGTTAACATAAGAATATTCGTAACTGCATTTTAAAATATTAATACCCCCTTACATGAAAACAGTTAACTTCTTTATTAGAGAGTTTAAATTATATGTTTGTATTGTTGTTGACAAATGGAATTTTCACGTTACTCGATGAGTGTAGATTAAATTACTATAAACTTCTTGAAATTGGAAAAGAGATGAGTAATATAAAGAGCGAGCTAAGCTAGAGTAGATTATTATTAATCTAGGAGCTTGTTACAGCGATTGATTGATTATTGAGTTAACAAGTTTGTTAGTCATTTTGTATGTTACTATTATCCAGTTAGACAATTAGTTCGAATTTGTGAATATTGATTATGTGTTTTGACAGAAAAAAGTAAATACAAGAAAGGGTCATAGGTACGAGAGAAAATTAGCAAGAAAATGACTGTTTAGAGTTTAGTCTGAACTTAGGCCTATCAGTGAATATTAGCAAAGTTATCGTAAAACTTGAAGTTTTATAAAAAAAATAGCCTTTGTTATTATTAAAGAGTAACGAGACCTTGTATTCTTCCTTTTACGGAATAATCTAAAAGAACCCGTCCAACAATAGAAATCATTACAACATTATTTATATTAAAGTCCAAAAACTCAAATTTCCATCCACGGTTATAATAAGAATATTATAAGATATAGGGTGGATGAATTAAGAAACAAAATTCCATATGACATTATCATAAAGGTCCAGTAAAGTTCCTTCTTCTAGTCTAAGAAGCATTAGAATAGATGAATTGAAGATAGTTGGTAAATGGTTACGGAACTGCATTAAATCTATCGCATTAGAAGTTTAAAAATAACTTTATTATCAGTTGTTATTTCATATGTTTAGCAACTATTCTGGTAGAAGTTATTACATAATTGGTCAAGATGTCTCTCGCTACCGGATCTGTGTTGGTGTTCTTATCCAAAAATCAGTTATTTCCTATTGATAAGTTTCCATCCTCACATTTCTAATTATTTTCTAAATCAATCTGCTTTACCTTGATTTTCTTTCATTTTCTCGTCACACAGTTCTAACGTCTCTTCATTATCTTCAAATCCATGTAGGTTTAACGACAAAAGTCTTGCTTTTATACGAAACTAAATAAATAGACTCAATGTATATATCAAAAATCTTAATACTGACGATATCATAGAGAGTAATTCATCAAAATCGTTTGTATACATATATAGAAACACACGTATAAATATATAATAGTTCTGTTCAATAATGCTATAATTATAGCAACCTCTTCAACATATATTTCAAATACCATTCTTTTCTGCAAAGCTGTTAACTTATTTTGTTATTCATATCCATTTATTTTATTTAAACCTACACTGTTACAGATGCGAGACTATCCGAAACTACTGCATAATATTATATGTTAAACATTTCAAAATAATACATTCTCGGCCTTTCGAAAATATATAGTCTCATTAATTCATGTGTAGGTGCTGTGAATTCCAGTTGAATGTATAATCTATTGAATGTATAAAAGGTTGAGCTGAAAGGTGTTTTTTTTTTAAACGCAGATTAAATCACGTTTTCAGTCAGATCTCTTCTAAACTAAGTTCTCTACTGACGTCATTCGATACTTATCAATTTTATGCTTTTTCTCCACTCACAGCGAGTGGGTGAACTTCTAGCAATGGAGTAAAGTTTAAGAATTTGTAATAATTGGTGCTTTTATAAGAAATAATAAAACCTAGAAATAGAATTCACTGGAATATTTTCTCCTATACTGAGTGTTACGTGACGGAGCAAACTACCCATTCTTTCATATATTTTTGTCTTTTGTCTGTTTAGCTAACAAAATCCATTTGAAACACACTATTGGCTGTCTGAAGATAGCTCCTCCACTCACAGTTGAAATCTTTTGAAGCATTCTGAGAGTGAGGAGTAAAGGAGGCATTACACGTTTGCTAATTTTAGCTTCGTTAATAATGTGTGTGTTTGTAAAGGGGGATATAATATGATGTAACGACTTGTCGGTTATGATGCACAGTTTCTTGAGTGTGAGGTATCGATGTTGTTGATTACAGAAGAAAGATTTGTAATAAACAGTCTGCATCATTTATCTTTAAGTTAATTACATGCCCGACGTTTACGACTCAAATGACCTTGTACTTAGATTATCCCCCATGTGTTATTCTGCTTTATTTAAGTGCCAAGTTAAAAACATCCGAGCAAAATTTAGCAAATAGAGAAATGTGATATATATTTTTATTATCAGAAACACATACATCAGACTAGATCCCGATTTCTGTAAAATATGGTCAAGATTTTGGAACTATACAACAAAGGAAACTGTGAAAGATGGAAATGGAAACATAAAATGAAGTTCCGCAAGAAGAATGTCTACGTGATAGATAAGTGAAACGGATGTCAAAGCCATGAAGATGAGAAGTGGATAAGGAAGATGTAATCGTTTGAGTTAAATAGTTCCAGGATAAAAAAAAAAGAGTAAAAAAAACAATGAAACACACGCAAACAGAGGAGCGCTGAACAAAATGGTTGTAATGATGGAAACAGTAGAGTTGTAGTTTCTTGATATTTAAAGGTAAAATTTAACGTAACGGCCAGTTAAAAGAATCACCATTATTCTGATGGGAGATAAGGGGGAAACACATTTTTAATGCAAGTATTATATCAATAAAATTATTGTTATTATTATTATTTGTAAATTATTCTTCTAGGAGTTATACAAAAACAAAATATAGTGTACAACGTCCAAATGCAATGAAAATGAACATGCATTTATATTTTGTACTTATGGCAAAGCTAATAAGGATATGTGCCGTAGTCCCCAATTTTGAACAACTGACCAGAAGGAAAGCTACCGGTCATAAGCACCCTAATACCCACAATCTACGTTAAAGGAATGACTGTTACTCTTATAACGCACACAC